TTTTTAATATGGTGTTTTACTCAAAGTTGTAATCGTTTGTAAGCAACTTGTACGTGTTTTGCAGAGTGTAGAAGTGCTCATAACCAGCCGAGCAACCCGGGAAACTGGCAATGGACATTTGTTCACTTTTTCTTCTAGCTTTTATTATTATGTATAACTGTTTTTGTGTTTAATCCATAGAGCTGAGTATGAGCGTTTCCCCTCCTGGATTGAGCCAGGAGGATCTATTACTCTGTCAAAGAAAGCCTGGTTTTTAACCTTCTTTTAATGTTATTTTGAATTGGTGTTTGAGCTGGCAACTATTATGTTGCGTTTGTTTTTTAAAAAGACTACTGTCCTATAGTGCTTTTTTAAAGTTTTATTTTCTGTCAATTGTTTTCTTGTGTAGGCAATATAATTGACTAAAGTTCCTCTCCTCTCCCTCTGGGGGGAACCTTGTCTGCTTTCAGTGTAGGGACTGCACGGTGTGACACTTTAAAAGGGTGAGTAAACTAACTCTCACTCTAATCATTTTGTAGAAGTTGTGCTTTGAGCAGTTCTGTTTGTGTCCCTCACAGTTACAGGCATTGTGACCTATAGTGGACCAGACCTGCCCATCTGAGGAGGGGAAACCCACCATGTACCGTTGGCAGAACAGTCGATCCTACGCTGTCATTGGAGGCAGTCGCAATTTCTACAGGCTCGCACTACCTGTTAGCATCTAGCTCTCCTGCTTACAAACTTTTAGCCATCCCTGCTTATACAAGTAGTAGTTTTAGTTGTCTGTGATCTGCCGAGGCCTACTCCCACCTGTCGAGTACGGCTGTACTGAGGTGTTTTTCCTCCGGAGACGTCGCGAAGAGACGGTGCGGCTCCACCTGTTGCTGCATGCGATCTGCGATTTACGGAGGCCTGCTCGTCGCGAAGAGACGGAGCGGCTCCACCTGTTGCTGCCTGCGATTCTGCGATCTGCGATCTACGGAGGCCTGCTCCCACCTGTAGAATACGGCTGTACTGGAGAGGTGTTTACCCCGGAGTCGTCGCGGAGAGACGGAGTGGATCCACGCTTCGGGCTTGGCCTGCTTCCACCGGGCGTGTGCTGCTGTACGGAGGATAATTTTACCACCGCTGGGGCCTGCTTTCCACCTGTCCTGGTTCTGCTGTTGCAGAGGCCTGCTTTCACCCCGGGGATACCACGGAGGGACCGGAGGGCTTCCACGCTGCTGTTTTCGCCTGTCCTTTGCTGCTGTGCTGATTTTGCTCCAGGAACATCGCGGATACTGTGTGCTGGTCTGTGAAAATGGCCCATATCGGGATTCTGCTGTGCCTGTTAACTATTTTGGACTATGAGAAGATCTCTAGTCATTCTGAGAAGTCTACTGGATTCAGGTCTGTTCTGCCACCCGCAGTGGGCATCCCCTGCAAAGGTTCGGATGTGTTGCTCAAACAATTACCGGTTGCCTTGTCACAGACAATCTGCTCGACAAAATATGTTTGTCTTTTTTGTTTTCCTGCGATGATGGTTCTTCAGGACTGCTTCTTAAGCTCTAATCACACTCTCGCAGACTTTTCCGGTGTTTCTAAATTAGATGATAATGTATGTGTGTCGTTTAAGAGGAAAAGATGCCTGGTTTTTGTTGTTGTTATTACTGTCAGGAAATGTACAACCTAACCCTGGTCCGCCCAGTAGTAGTAGTCAGATCGCTACTCCTGCTGATTTTAAAGCTAGGTCTCAGCTGTCAAAGACTCCTTGTCTTCACTAGCAAATCTTTTATAACAACTAGACTACAAGGAAATAGTGCTACTTGGAGATTTTAACTGGGACTGGTTAACTGCAGTGTCAGAGGATTTAAAAAACCTTTTTATCTCTTTAAATGTTACTCAGATTGTGGACAGTCCGACTCGCCCTAACATTAAGTCCCCTAATAAATCCTCCCTAATTGATCTCATTTGAACTAATGTTCCCCATAAATATTCATCTGTGGGAGTATTTGCAAATGATCTGAGTGATCACTGTGTTGTAGCCACAATTAGGGACACTAAGGTCCAAAAGGTTAAACCTCGCATTATCATTAAGAGAGACAAAAAACATTTTGTGGAGCAGGGTTTTGTGCATGATCTGTTTGATTTTGATTGGGGTAAAATCGATCTGTGTGCTGATGTAGAAACTGCATGGTCTTATTTTTAACTTGGTTTTATGGAGATCATTGATAGACATGCACCCCTGCGTAAATATAGAGTAAAGGGACGAGACAATCCTTGGTTTTCTTCTAATCTGTCCAGTCTCCTTCATGAGAGAAACAAGGCCTGGGCAAAGGCTAGGAAATCAGGCTCAGAGGTAGAATGGCTGCATTTTAGGCAGCTAAGAAATAGCTTCACTTCACATATCAAAAGTGCTAAATCAAAGTACTATCTGTCAGTAACCACAAAGAATCTGAATAATCCTGAACATTTTTGGAAAGCCATTAAATCGTTATCCACCGGCGATATCCGTAATGAGCTACCTCTGTGCATTACCACAGCATCTGGCACTATATCGGACAGGGCTACTATGCTAAATTGCTTTAATGAGCATTTTGTGTCCTGTGGTTCTCTATTTGATTCTGTCACTAACTCTGCTTCTGTGAACACTACAGTATGTGACTCTGAAAAACGTGTGTTGGAAAACCTTTTTAGTTTTACCCCTTTTACTGTTGATGTTGTTCGTGAAGCTTTAACCAAGTTAGATCCTAAGAAACCGGCCGGCCCGGACAACGTAGAACCTTTCTTTTTAAAGATAGCTGCAGATTTTATTGCTCCACCTCTCACTACTCTTTTTAACCTCTCCCTCAGCTCAAACACAATTCCAAAATTGTGGAAGTCAGCGTATGTCCTGCCTTTGCTAAAAGGAGGGGAGGCCACCTTATTAAATAACTATAGGCCAATCTCTAAATTGTCAGTTCTGGCTAAGGTTCTTGAACGCTTAGTGAGTGAACAGGTAAAGGTGTTTTTATGTACAAATGACATCCTGTCTAAACATCAGTCAGGCTTCAGAAAGCAACACAGCACCATCACTGCCACAATGGAAGTGGTGAATGATGTGGCGAGTATTTTAGATAATAAGCAGAGTTGTGCAGCTCTATTTATTGACCTTTCCAAAGCGTTTGACACCGTCGACCATCACATTTTAAAGCAGAGGCTAGCCAGTATAGGCATGTCATTATAATTAAAATACAAAAACAGCAGGTATACACAAAGGTGTTTTGAGTTGATGATGTGAATGGCCCCACTTCACTTGAATAGTTTTGATAAATGGAAAGACTAAATGCTATTTTATGTGTTGAGGAAATGACCCTATCTTACTATGATGCTTCAAAGATATGATGAACTTGATGGATTGCTTCAGATATTTCAACCAAACAGTAAGTAAAGGAGTAAGGGAAATGCAACATAAAATGAATCCTACTTAGCAGTACTAGGTTGACTCAACTGAGCTTCTGAATGCAGGATATTTGTATACGGTATTTTCACTCTGGTATAACTTTTACTCAAGCAAAGTATCTGAATACTTCTCCCACCGCTCTACTCATGTGAATGAATAGTTGTCCTGCAGAAAGTTTGACACACACACTCGCTGCTGTACCAAGGCTTTTTTATTGAGTTAAATTACATTTAACAGTGAACTGGTCAAGAGAAAGTACGGAGGGGGTACATGAACAAATTATTGATCATTTTGTTCACAGTCAAGGTAAATATAATACGTTTTCAGGCTTTTCTTTTTAACTCTTTCACAGAAAGAAATAATAAAGCATTATATACACAAACTCACTTACTCAATATGGCAATACTGTGGAGGTGTTCACTGATACACAAGGCAGGTCAACATGATTACAGCTCCTGCTCATGTACTGTATGACCTCAGGTAATCTGTGGTATTATGTAAGAATTAAGGATCACTTTTCAATTGTTTGAGGGTTTCCAGACTTGGGTTTTGTATTAAAAACAATGGGTTATGGATTATATCAGTATGCAGGGAGGCGTGTGGCGCAGTGGATAGAGCGTGGTGTTCGGATCAGGGGGTCACAGGTTCAAACCCCACTGCAGTCAGCATGTTGTTGTGTCCCTGGGCAAGACACTTCACCCCAAATTGCTCCTGTGTGGATTGTCCACAGTATTGAGTATGTAAGTCGCTTTGGATAAAAGCGTCTAACAAGTAACATGTAATGTAATGATAAATAAGATATACTTAATGGCATGTATGGAACAACATATACATGAGGTGACAGTATCATAGACTTGTTTTGTTATCTGTGACTGGATACATTTATGGGTGAAGGTCACCATAAATGTGATCACTGTGATTTCAATAGAAAAATAAAAATGATTCCTCTCACAGATACTCTTGATTTTCTTTTTTTGAGAAAAAGACAATTGTTATTTTGGCCATTAAAAGGGTTGTGCTTTTTGTTTTCCTGTCTGGTCACTTTGCTTCAACAATAAATATTCATTTTTAAACCATATTCATAACATGACCTCTGTCAGGATAAGTCAAGTTACAGTTACATTCATTCATACTTTCATTGTGCTCTGTTATACTTCTTAAGGCTGGACACTACAGGCAAAACCTTTCCTGGTCGGTTTAGAGTTTGGGCTATTTAGCTTACATTACCTTTTGCTATGACATTTTTGGAAAGAAAATCCTAAATACACATTTTAATGTTTATCTTCATTTTGTCTATTTTCATCTGCAAATGTCTTCTAAATCCACAAAATTCCACCATTGGATAATGCCTCATTTGCATATTTAAACTTTTCAGAAAACTCGTAATACTGAAAACTTGGATGGGATGTTTCATTATGATATCATTCATTTAAACGTTTTTCCTGTAGTGTCTCCCTTCACATACACCTAATACTGACTTGACTGATTTCTTTCAAACAAAATAATAGATCACATTATATGTTGCATTTAAGTAAGTATCAGCATGCATGTATATATATATATATATATATATATATATATATATATATATATATATCTCTCTGCATTTCCATGCTGAGGATATGTAACAGTCTCAATCTTCAGAGTAAGAAAATAAATTCTGCATCTACTATTTGGCACAAGTTGAAATAACTCACTCTCTGCTGTGGCAACAGAGTGGCTTTGTTCTGTTTGATGCACAGATGCCATAAATACATTATGTCACTCTCCACATACATACCTCATATAAAAGGTCTATAGCTTCTGAAAGAATATCAACACTCACTCGAAAATGATATATGTACTAAGCTGCCTGAATAAATTACTATCATTTCTCATATACATCTAGTCAGAAAGCTACGGAGGCCATCTTTCTCATAAAAGTGCGCTTACATCCATCTTGTGCGTTATAAGAGTTTTCACAGCAGATTTAACAAGTGGCCCCTGCTGTGCCCTCAAAGTGCTCGATCTTCTACAAAAAAATAAAATCACACACATGTCAGTGCTCAGCAGGCCACGGGCGGTCAGCTGCTGGGGAGCGGGCTCTGTGGAGGCGTAGTGCCCTGAGGCTCCACCCGGGGGAGCTGCTGCCTCCAGTAGGTGAAGTGGCTGTAGGTGTCCGAGCAGGGGAAGTCTGAGGAGGAGGATCGCATCTTCAGGGGGAACACGTGGTCCACCACCTCACCCAGACGCACATACCTGAAGAGAGGAAGACACATAGTGAGATATTTTTCTGGAGTCATTTTGATGTTAGAATATATCGTGAAAATGGGACTTACGATGAGATGTTGGTCTTGGCATGCTCCTGCACTAGCTCGCCTTTTGGGTTAACGGTGAAAATCCTGTTCAGTGGCACCCCGACTTCTTTATAGGAATATACATCCTGCGAAAAAAAAGTACAATTAGATGTATATCTATAATAAACCCTGCAAAAATATAAAACCTCAGGGATAACCTTTAAATTACTTATGAGTTGTAGTTTATATAAAGTGTGTGTACCGTTGGTCTGTTGCCAAACGCTGCATAGAAAGGCTGGGTGTTGGGGAAGAAGAGGTTCTTGATATCGTTGAGACACTCCACCTTGAATTTCTCGGGTTTCTTCTCAATCACCTCCCTGTCACACACAATCACAAATCACAGTTCAACAACCCTCGAGTGTTCTTTACCTTCTTACAAATGGTGACATGACTATAGATTGATTGTGTCTTTATGTATGTGAGACCTGTGCAGAGCTGAGAAGAGGCTGCTGGGGCTGAGGAGGACAGGGCCAATAGGAAGCATGGTGCCTCTCTCGTTGACCCAGTGGAGGTAACCTCTGGTCATGTCAGCCATGCCGATAGCTCGAGCGGAACAGTACAGGAACTTGTAGCCATTTCTGACAGAGTGAGAGAGGAAACAGAGAGAATAAGCATGTGTATTAATAATGATCACTTGTTTTCCTTTTGAGAGCTTGGTTTTGGCATTTCTGGTATAAAACATGTACGTAACTTTAAACTATATGTGCGTTTTATTCTTTGCTTTGATCCAAGGAAATCAAGGAAATCAAGATCTGACATTATGACAGTAACGTAATTCTTACTGGCTGACTTTGTGGTAGAGCTGTGCAATGCCCTGGTGGGTCCAGTCCTTCCCCAGTGTGGGCAGGATGTGACCCAGTGTGTCCGACCTGGAGACAAACACAATAAGACACAAGACTTGTGTAAAAGGCTTTTGCTTATTATTTAAAAAAAATGTACATCCAAAATAAATCATGTCAGAAGTCCTATGCACAGATATTGCTTGGAACAGGCAGTTTCTCATCCGTATCAGACTGGACTTCTGTATCGTCCTCATGTAAAATAACTCTTTAAAAGTAATTAACAGGTTGAATCATGTTCCCTATATTTGATAAATGCCATAAAATATGAACTCACTTTGGCTATAGTGGACCAAGAGGTGATTTTAATCATATTTTATCTGTTTTTTTCTTTGTTCATCGATACATAACTGTGTTTCTGTAAAATTGGACATATTTGGACTTTCAGATGATATGTTTATATCCAAACTAATCTGAACTGTGTTGTGGAGGTAGCTGTAAAAGTGTTTCTATATGTATGTATTCATACACTATGCTTATGTATCACTGACCTGGTAATAGTTCCATCTATGTCAGAGATAATGATCTTGTCGTCCCAGTTCCAGAGGTAGATGGTTCCCTGACAGCGACACGTCCCCTGGTACTGAGTGGTCACGCTGAACACAACATCGTTAGGACCGTCCTGCAGCTGGAGGGACAGCTGTGTGTGTGTGTGTGTGTGTGTGTGTGTGTGTGTGTGTGTGTGTGTGTGTGTGTGTGTGTGTGTGTGTGTATATGTGTGTGTGTGTGTGTATGTGTGTGAGGGAGAGAGAAAAACTAGATATAATACATGGAGGTAACAATTAATAACAAAACAAAAATGTCAATGTCTGCACTCACCAGCTGCTCTGATGTGAGTCGGAGTGTTTTCTTATAAGACACACCTCCTGGTGTAAGGCCGGGCTCTGATTGGCCGGGCGCAGAGCTCTGTAAGGCTGTCCTGTGGTCTTCATCACTGGAGGAAGAGTCTTCTTTGTGTCTGGCGTTAGACAGGTGGACAGTGTGTCAAAGGATGTTCAATCTTTCCCTGATTTAGAGGATTTATACTTTGTCTTGTATCGTTTGCTGGACTCTCACCTGCTAGACATTTTCCCGTCCTGCTCATCATAACCGCAGGCCCCCACGTTCAGAGAATCCTGTACGAGGAGAACAAGGGTTAATGTTCTTTTAAAATCGATACAAATATTGTTGGAAAAAACTTTAACTTAATCATAAAGGAAATTAGAAGAAATTACAGATTTGGCGCTGCTGTTTCTGCCTCGCCAGGAGAACCACCACCTCCCTCCTTTCTTTGGCATCTTCTCCTTCATAATGTTCTCCACTGCAACCTGGAGAGGAGCACACACAGCCCCAAAACAACCACAACACAACATCGTAAAAAAAAACACGCTTGAAAATAAAACGTAAGCCAAAGCAGACCAGTAAATCAAAAACAGTAACACAGAAGCAGCAATGTGTCTGCGGTTGGAATGGGGGAAATGAAGCTAATTTAAAACCATGCGACCAAGAGAGCTGTTTCTGACGTACAGAGCTGTAGCCAAGCACACCAGTCAGACAACAGAGAAGAAACTCTAAGGCGGAGTGGATATAACTTAGGCAAGAAGACTAATGCATGGATGCAACAAGGGGAGGGGAAGGAGGGGAACACAGAAGAGACAAAGTTTAAGGAAATGCATTGGATGTTAATCACACAACATAAAGACGTAGATAACATAGGGTTTATGTTGTTAGGTTTATAAATCCCACATTAGGTACTATGCAATGTTATGATCGTAACATTAGTAGTATAGTTGCATAGGCATACACATATGCAGCATGCAGTAACCGTTTCAGTCAAAAGGGGGAGTGGTATTCATGTACACACAACCAGTCATAAAGTACTGTGCCCTGTATCAAATTCCTACCTTTGGCAGCGGTTTCTGAAAGGCCTGCAAAGCCAGCATAAGTGGAGCCGCAGAGCTCCAATTATAGTATCTGAAGGAGAAAACAGAATATATTTTTATCAATTTCATTACCGCAGCAAAAAACGTTGGCAGCCAGACGTCTTTGCAAAAAACGTCTTTGCTGTAACACCTGGCAGTTAAATCCCTACGTTCTTTTACTATATTTAGACACACGTTTCGTCACTGAAGCAGGGGGAAGTCTTACTTGGAGACAATTTTCACGACCAAGTTGGGGTCGTCGATGATGGAGGGGTTTTCCGAAAACTGCTGGTAAGAGATTATTTTCTCGTGGAACTGCTCTGTAATCACACACAATTACATGTTCAGTTTTCCACAGCTTATTTAAAAAAAATGTGTGACACCTGCTGTGTCGGAATCCTACCATTAGTGATCTCCCTGTTGTCATTGAGTCCTCCACACAGAGAGATGGTGATAGTCGGCATGTCCGCCAAAGGGTCGCAGTAGCTGTCCACTCCGCTGTCCCCCCCTGAGCTGAGGGACTGTGGGGACATGCTGCTGCCGTGGGGGCCAGGGTCTGAGTCGCTGCGCACCGCCACAACACCGTCACTACAGCGGAGAAAATAAGTATTGATAAGCTCCGCTGTACCAATGTCTTTGATTGAGTTTAAGTTATGGCTGTGTGTTTGCGTGCTTCTACGTACCTCTTAGGGAAATAAAGGGCCGCCACTTCAGGCTCGAGGTCTGTGATGTCATCCAGGTAAATCCCATCAGACCCAAGATGGCGGCTTCTCTTGTCTGCAACAGAGGTACGAATCAATTAAAATAACTTTGTACTTGCTTGGGTTCATACAATGAACAATGAAACAATTTTTCTTTTTTTGGGGGGGGGGGGGGGGCTTATTTTAACTCAGTCACGAGTACAATTATTCTTCACTTTTAGCAGCAAAATGTCTTGCCATTTCCAGAGTGTGTAAAAGTCTGTAGAGTGGGGAAGCTTTCTCTTCATAATATGCAGCAAAGTTCATGATTAGCTTCATCAACAAGAAAAATAGGCAGTATGGTTGATTTAATTTAGGAGAGCATGTCCTCAAAATGTGTCATTTTGACCCTCAAAAACAATACATTCTTGTTTTTTTACAGCCATTTAGATTCCAGTTTATTTTTCGCTGTAGCTCAGTTATTGAGTGAACCAGAAAATGTTATCTAAAAACAGTAGATTTGTGTGTGATTTTAACACCAATAACTAAATGACCTTGAGCTGTGCAGAACAAAAAACAGAACTGCTGTTGACAGCCTAAAGCTCAGGATGAATGGAATATTTGACTGTGCTGTTGCCCTTCAGGCTGTCACCTTTTCTCTTGGATGGAGAGTCGGTTTTTCCCGGTGGTAGAGGCATCGTCTCCTCCATTTCAGACATCTGAGCTGCTACACCTCCGGCTGTCATGGCCTCCATCCCAACTGTGTCCCCATTAGTCTCCTGTGGCATCATCAGGGTGAGTGCTGATATTTCAGCGCAGGGTCCACTCTGTTCCGTCTCATGAGTTATCACGCGGAAGTGTGTGCTTTCAGAGACTGGGATGGTTACCGGGCAAACTGACGGAGGGTTGGTTTTCTCTTGCAGGAAAGACGGCTAGAAAAGCAGGATAGAGGATGACACTAAATGACTACAAATAAAAACAGAGTTGTTCTTTCTGTGCATGAACAGTTTACATTCACAGTTACCTTGGCAGCCTGCGGGAGCTCTCCCCACGCCCAGTGCATGGCTGGATCCTGATTGGCTGCGTCTGACGGCTTGGTCAATAGCTCAGAGTCGCTCTTGGGAGAAGTGGGACGAGAGTTTCCAGGACTGTGAGAAGAAAAGAGGATACACCATGAGTTACAGAGCTGTTTCTTCTGAATAATCACATGTAGGTGTCATCATGAGTGAACGAAGCACCTCTGAATGGGGCTCCAGTCTCCATCTGAGCGAGTGTAGATGCCAGACTGTTTGAAAGAGCTGCCGGGGGCGACTGTTGTCTCATCTCTTAAAACGTCCCGAGAAGTCCTGAACACACAAATATATACTGTAAATATATCACTGAATAACACAAATGTGCTTTTTTTATTTAATAATGTAGTGTGTCTTCTACTTTGTCACAGTAACAGTATGTCATTTTGCTTTCACTTTAAACCCATTTTCAGACCCTCGGAGATCAAGCCTGGACTTAAAACACACCTCTTGTAGCTACAACGCTTTATGAATATAATATTAGTTTTTCTTTGACTTCACCAAAATAGGGAATTACTTATGGGGCTTTGGTTATTAAAGGCAGCTTGTTTCCTTCAATGACAAAGTATGCTAGCAATGTGTTGACACTTCACAAACAACCTCTTCTTTTATAGCTGTACTCAGTGTTAAGCTCAGTGATACTTGAAGGTAGTATTCAGTACAGATGAGCAGGGATTGTAATGTAAGGTATCCCCAACAGGCATGCAGAGATGGAAATAAATCTGTCTTGTAGCTATTTACAACCTCTGCTGTATTCATTTATGATACATGGAGAGGGGGGGGCATAGCTCTTATAGCTGCATGTTGGCATACTGTATGGGCATGCAACATTCCTTAACAACAACACACACAGTAAGGATAGTTTCTCATTTCAAATGCAAAGCTCTTTTGTTTTTCCACGGCCGAAGAAGTGGTTCCCTTATGTTCTTGAGTGTCTTATCGTGTGTGTGTGTGTGTGTGTGTGTGTGTGTGTGTGTGTGTGTGTGTGTGTGTTTCCACTACAGTCGCTGGGGTCTGTTTATTCTTTCCTGCCAGACTCTGATTCTCTTACAGCTGCTCTCAAAGCTAATTTAAGTGATGTATTAAAGGGGCCCTATTATGATCTTTGGAGTGTTCCCTTTCCTGTAGTGTGTGTACTGTGTCATAGGCTTTTGTGCATGTAAACGTTTCACAAAGGCTTAAATCCCTGTGTTCCCCCCAGAGGGAGTTTCTCCCCCACACATTCCCCCCCTGCCTAAAACACCTCCATATGACTCCTTTGTTTACTTCGGTAATATAGTGACATCACTATGTTACACTCTCCTATTGGCTAGAGCTCCAACACATAGTGCGTGATAGGCGAAGGGGCGGGACATCTTTAAGCTGTTTATGAACCTGAAAATGAGCTTAATATGCCCCCTTTAATTCCTTTTTTCCTCCCATTCCCTTTTTCCCCTTTACCTCTCTGCACATTTTCTCACCTGTTGCTCCCTATCATCGTCATTTCATCCGAGCTGATGTCTATGGTGAACATGTCTTCGTCCTCGGAGTAGTCACCACTGTCCTCCTTCCTCACACTGTCCGCCCGGACCTTCCTCCTTCTCTTCCTCCTCTTCTTCATCATCCCATTGCCAGTCTCCCCAGCGGCCCCCGTGGAGCCCAGTGTCTGTATGGGGGGCCCGGAGCCCTTCCCCAGCAGGGAGGAGCTCATCAGGAGGGCCCCGTCCGACAAGATGGGAGAGGTGGCCAGGTAGGAGGGAACCACTTCCTGCGAGAAGTCACATTATGGCCAAAAAAGGTATCATTTTATATCTTTGAGACTACAATAGGATTGGTACTAGATTTAAAACACCAAACAGCAACACGATTGACAGAGTATTATCATTAAAAATCTGTTTGTCACATCCACGCCAAACTAAAAGTGAAAAGTAAATATTATCTTCTTATTTAAACAATGAAACACAAAATCCCACATCCAAAATATCTTCTCTTGCATTCACCCTGACCCTTCTGTAAGCAGGTTAAAGCTAGATTTTGGAATTTTGGAACAACTCCCACTAAAACATGACTCTACTCTTAGTGTTTTGCTTTGTTTTGGTTGGAGGTGAAGTGTGCAAACAATGTCAAACTGTTTGCAACCACTTCTGCTGTGAGGGAGACTCCTAACCAGCGAAACACTAAACAGCCAATCCAAAAGGCAAGGCAAGGCAAGGCAGGTTTATTTATATAGCACTTTTCAACACAAGGCAATTCAAAGTGCTTTACAAAAAATGAAAGAGATTAAGAAAATGGCAGTCATTAAAAAGAAAAGCTAATAAAATAAACATTAAAAGAAAAAATACATGGATAAAAGTTACAGTGCTGTCAATTAAACATTAAAAGAAAAAAGTACATGGATAAAAGTTACAGTGCAGTCTAAGATATGAATAGTTCAATTAAAAGCAGCGACAAAAAGAAAAGTCTTCAGCCTGGATTTAAAAGTAGTCAGAGTTGTAGCGGACCTGCAGGTTTCTGGGAGTTTGTTCCAGATATTTGGAGCATAATAACTGAACGCTGCTTTACCATGTTTAGTTCTGACTCTGGGGACAGAAAGCTGACCAGTCCCTGAAGACCTGAGAGATCTGGATGGTTCATAATTTAGCAGGAGGTCAGAAATGTATTTTGAAAAAAACAGACTCATTTCTGTGAAAGGAGGCCAGTTTTGAAAAAAACCTCCTTCTAGGAAAAGAAAAGGCTTTCCAGGAGGGTCTCCTGGAGTTAGCGTGGGGGAATGTAGACATGTGTGTAGACATGTGTGTAGAGTCTGTAGACATGTGTGTAGACATGTGGAAAGAGAGGGAGGAAAAAGTGAAGTGTAACCACATCATTTGTGGTCTGAAACTACAAGTTTTTACTTTTCATGTGCCAAGAACTCCCTCCCCCCCCTTTCTCTCCCAGGCCTGGGAATCTGACACTAGGGCTGAACGATTAATCGATTTTAAATCGAAATCGCGATTTTAAATGATGCGATTATCAAATCGCAAAGCCTGCGATTTTATTTTACTTTTTTTGTTTTTTACATTATATATATATATTTTTGTTCTTGTGTGTCAGTTATCCACACCAATCAGAAGTACTGTGCTCCACATGTACCAGCCATTGTTAACCACTCAGAAGTGGCCCATCATGGGCCACTTCTGATTGATAGAGAAGGTGATAGACAGATTGATCCAATCACCTGCCAAGTATTTTTGAAGGTGCCTGCCCTTTCCAAATGGCTCCTAGATGGTTTGGTGAAACAAACCATCTGAGTCAGGTTAGTAATGCTCCATCACATGTTTTACATCTATTACAAGGTGAATCTTAAACTGAAGCTTGACTTTAAAGCAACCCAACGGAAGTTTCATGTAAGTTTAGTTCTTTCACTCGTAGCTCGGGCTGCGGGGGTGCTAGAGACGGGAGCACGTTGATGCGACCTTCCAAGCCGGAGATATGTCCGCATTTTACAATAAACTTCCGTTGGGTCGCTTAAAAACAAATATCGCAAATTGAATCGCAATCGCAATATTTGTCAGAAAAATCGCAAATTTGATTTTTTTCCCAAAATCGTGCAGCCCTATCTGACACCCCTCTGGGCTTCTCTTGCTGGTGCCGGCCCCCCAGCCTCAGTAGTCCACCGACTCTTTGTATCTACACACATCCTCACGTGTATACAATTGTGTAGAAATATTTTGATAACGACAGCACACGTGACTTGGCTGTCTTGGTGATGGAAAAACTCTGCTTTCCAAGAACTGAGGAAAAACAGCTGTTGAGTTTCCATGAATTCCAAGCTGAGTTTTGAATGGCTCCCATGGGCCACATAGAAGTAAAACAAGTATAACCATGTTTAGAAAGAGGAAGGTATTTCTTACTACATGTTTTCAACTTTTCACCCTTTAACTATTTCTCTAACAACTCCATACGCAAATAAACATGTTCTACTTGAAAGCATATTTATTTGTCAGGAAACTGGAGTCCTGGTTGATCCTCAGTCATTATGACATAGAGGTTGATTTAGGTCAGAAAGCCTGCACTCAGGACTCATTTGCCCGCTGATGAACACAGGAATGCTGTTCAGCCAAAAAGGATAGGAAGAATTCCTGGCTGCTTTTCCAACCTATGCACACAACGCCAGCTTATTCAAACTACTCCAGTATGAGAAAACGGATAGTTTGGATAACGCTTCTCGGTTGTAAACATGGGTGTGTCTGGGCTTCAGGGGGTCGAGAGACTGATGTTTCTTTTTCAAATTGAGGTCCGCTAATTAACAAATGTTACATTTGAACCAAGCACATTTTTAGAAAGCTGTTACTGCAGTTGTGTCATGCTAACCTGATCATTTTCTGTTTCTTGCACAAAGAATGCTTCTCCATTGTCCCCAAGCTTCATGTGTAGATTCACTGGCTCTCCATTGATCTCCATGTCCACCTGGCGGTAAAGAATGATCGTTAGAAATAGCCGTTTCATTTCTATAACACATTATAAACACAGGCAATTCAGTGTGCTTCACATACATAACAACAAAGAGGACATCCATACAAAAAATAGCATTAAAATCAGTATCATAACTCATATAAAAATAAACCTAGATACTTAAAATTGAAAAGAATCATTAAAATAACAATCAATCACAGGCACATAAGAGATCTAAAAATGGCTATATTTTGTGCACATCTCATCTTCTGGCAGTTTATTTCTGTTGCATGCAGAATAACAGCTGACTTCAATCCAAGAGCATCTCAAAGGTTACAGCTCTCTAAATGCGACATCAAAGGGGGCTCCTCTCACCACTTTCTCCAGGGACCGGAGGACTCCCATCTTCCCGAAGCGGACATGGAAAGGTGAGCACTGCAGGGATCCATCGGGCTGCCTCACTACGATGACGTCGATGCAGCCGGACAGGGTGGCCGGGTTCAGGCCTCGGTACAGCTCTTTGACCTGGACGAACACCTGGCCTGCCAGCTGGCCCACGTAGTTCATCGTCTGACGGGTCTGGTGGAGGGAACATTGAAAGAAGGGACGAAATGAATGACGTTAAAACTGCAAACTACATCCAAACTTAAAGGCCTGCATTTGCTACTTGAAGGAATAGGTCACCACCAAAAATGATCATATTTCTAGCAATTACTGACCTTGTGTTACTTTGAATTTGGGAAGAAAACTTGGATTTTATAGCATGGCTCGATGGTGAACGAAAACTAAAAAGATAGGTAATAGGGTGCTCCTTTTAAAAACAGTACAACTATATCAAAACCTCTATTTACCAACTCTCACATAATTGGGCAGAATCAACCAAGTCTCATTTATCCATTCATTTGTATCCATCACTTTACAATTTAGAACACTTCCACACTGGAAGTATTACACACATTTTCTCGTTCTTTCGATTCTTCATTCACCGTGAAGGCAGTGACACAACAAGTTTTCTTCAAGGTAACAGTGGTTGAGAAATGGATATACTAATGTTCATTTTGGGGGTGAAGTATAGCTTTGATAGTTGGATCACTATGCCCCACGAAGCTTCCTCGAACTCAGTCAACTGTTATTGGAGGAGGTGTTTATGACCCGGCCATTCTTCAGTCCGTCAATCAAACCACTGCTGACGTACGTACGACTCTTCCTCTGAGGGCATGGGCACTGTCTAAGGAAAGAGGACATGGAGGCTGGTTCCTGTTCAGTACTCTTGTCATTTAGTTTCTCCCAGGATGCATTTGGCCTACACTCTGTAGAAAAACCCTCCTCTCCCCTTTTCTGGAAATCCTATCCGACTGTTTTTCATTCTGCAGCCCCCGACGACAGAGGCCAAAGGACAAACCAAGTTAGACCAGTCGAATACTCGTGTTGCGAATGTGATGTCATAACTGTCCCGGTTGTGATTTGGCTGAGCTGAGGCGTACAGGAAATACTGAGAACACGTAGGCTTCCTGAGACACGAGTGAATGTCAACAATGTGAATGTCCACTTAAGGTAAAGGATGCCTTTACACAAGAACTACACTGAACACAATTGTCTGAGTGTGTCATAGTTTAAACAGTTCAATAGAAAAGGTAAGCAGTGATCACATCTGTGTGAAGTTCAGTCCTCAAAGATCTCCAAACGTATTATCTGTATGTTATTGAGGGAATCCCACATAAACAAACAGATGTATTCCACATGTTATAACAGTTTTGGATATTCTACATTTCTGGAACTATCTTATCCGATCAAACCACAACACACTATCCTGTTGAAGCAGCAAATTCTCCGAGTCGTTTCTGAGAAATATATTTCAAAAATCCAGGTTTTCACAGGCTTTAAAGCATGTACACACGCGTCCCCTTAGTTGTATTGTTTTGTCCTCTAGCTCATTACGTAATCAAGACTGACAAGCCGCTTTCTGTTCTTACGTTACTGGAACAAGCAAAACAAATGCTTTCAAGGTGAACATGTTTCTGTAACTGTGTTTGTCTCTATCCTTTTCTTAATAAATCAGTGACTACACTAGTTGTGAGTCTAAATCAAACTGCTAAGTGCATCAGGTGAAGTAAAGAAGGTAAGGAAATGAACTAAAACCATCTAAAGAGTATTTAAGCTCATAATTAATTATTACATTAATCATGAGATAAATCCCGTTTGCATAGCTTTGGAGACTCCTTGGGGTTTGCAATAAGAGAAGGGGGTCTGCCCTTGACTTAGTTGGCACTGGGCCCCCAAAATGTTGCAGCAACAGAGAACAATAATGCCACCATATCCCCCCTTCCCTCTGAGTATGTGAACACGAGAACAGACTCCTTGCAGAAAAACAGGAGAGCTATTTTTAGAGCAGCTGATGAGCCATAATAACAATGTCTGAGTCTTGAAATTCCGCTTATAGATGACCTTACAGTAACTCTCTTTACATATTCATGTCTGCTTTCACTGAGACATTTAGTTACAGAACAAGCTGATTTTCAAAGCACAAGACTTTTTGTGTGAACACTGCCACATCCAAAAATACTTTTTCTTGTTTTACAGAACACTGACAGAACTGCATGGTTTCAAAGAAAGTGTTCGTAACTGAGCCCTTGGGAAATCCTATTTTAAAAAAAGACAGTGTTTTATGTTTAACTGTGGTGTTGTTATTGGTTTAACGGTTTTACAATCTGCTGTTTCCTTGCAGGCTGGTTTCTGGTTGGGACACTCTTGTTTTACAGCGATTGTCTTTCATTTTTACTCATACTAGTACACTCATAATCCGTCACAATATGATGTGCACCCCTCGTAATCATTTAAGAAAATAAAAGCCTCAACCTTTAGCAGATTTAGGTGATGAGTGGAGTTTAATTCAAAAGATGCATACAGACAACATTGCCTCACACCGATCTGCTACAGTTTTCCCAACTCATCCACACATTTAAAGGGACTTCCAATCTAAATCCAATAGATGTAGGTAAAAAGCTGACTCACAATATCCTGACAGTGCAAATCGATCATGTTAGAAATAAATGACAAGTGACGAGAAGCCTAAATAAAATGAGTAAACAGCAGTAGTAACAGATATAGTATAACACAAATGAAAATGACACATACAGGCAGGTGCATTCAAATACATTATAAAGCAGTCTCCTACCTTCTATAGCTGATATGCTGACAGCCTTTACCAGCACATTGAGCCTGCCGTTCCCACAGCGGTGAATGACAGTTCAACAACACATCACAGGAGCCTCCTTTCCTGGTAGAGGTGATGTCTGAGTGTTTTATAAGCCCTCGACTTGCTGTCACCGATTTACAGCCAGAAAAAACGGACTATTAAGTAAACGCGATACTAATTTCTGCCTCTGACCGCCTCTGTTTCTCTCGCTCTCCCAGCAGAAAGGCTCGACAGAGGATGACATCATGCACATCAAACCAGCCGGCTGACCAATCAGCGTCGAGCCGTTGAGTTGCCAAACTCATCGTTTCAGCTGCCACAGTGGCAACACGATTACATCTACTTGTTTACATTTCTCCGGGCAGTTAGATGGTTGCGTCAAATGTATTATTTCTATTCAGAATTTTTTTTTTTTTTAAAACCATAGGTGAAAACAAAAGCCACACATTGTGCTTCATTTACTCCACAATAAACTTGTCATAGTGTATTCAAAAGTGTGTGAAATAGGGCAAAAATCTGTCTAAAACAAAATTGACCTATGGTTTATGTTATTCATGTGAAAAATGTATACAAAATGTTACATGATAAATAAGATCAACATTACCACGCTACAATGTCTCAGTTTAAAGAGCTCTGGAGGAAGCAGCAGCTACTGTGTGTTATGACGGCGGGAAAACGTGGATCTACGTCATCGTTTGAAGTCTCCCAGTCTGCTGCAGTGAGGTGATATTTCGGACCAATCACAGGCCTGCTTCATAGCACATGCCATGTGTAGCCTGAGACCCTGTAGTGAAACCGTGTGTCAGGAGGATGTGGTTAACTGGTGGAGTCATTTTGAAGAACTCAACACCAGCTAAATCTGTTCTTGTATTAATAAAAGCGAGGCATTTCTATTTCAAATGCACAGACGCATACTTAAATAGGCTAAGAAGCACACATAGGACCTATTTAATAGGTAATAACCTGATAACACTGAGCTAATGCACTCAAATATATAAAACATTGAAATAAATGTTATTGGCATTAAAAGTTACATTATTGCCAGTTACTTTCTATGTATCTACATGTGTGTAAGTTGGAACACAGCCAACATTTTTGACAGACATTTTCAGAGTTTCTTCATGGAAGACCTCACTACAGCAGCTCATCTACAACAAGCGCTGCTTCAGTGTGTGTGTGTGTGTGTGTGTGTGTGTGTGTGTGTGTGTGTGTGTGTGTGTGTGTGTGTGTGTGTGTGTGTGTGTATTGTGTGTAATTGTTTTTTTTTCCAGAGTCTATGATGCAGACTTTCTGGGCTGAACCAGAGAGAAAAGAATGTGTGTCTTTGTGAGGGTTTTTCCACCACAGTCGACTAACGCTGAGCTCTGTTGTTATCTTGTGGGGCTGTTGTGTGTACTTTTGAAATGTTCACAATGTTATGTTCACACTGAAATTAAGGGGAACATTTTAAAAGATGAAAACCAAATCAAAAATACCAACTCATACATTTAACTACTTGAAAATGTTTTGAGTAGCAAATAGTGCATGTTACAATGTCAGAGTGGTGGTTCTTAGCACTGCTTCAGCTGTGTGTGTGTGTGTGTGTGTGTGTGTGTGTGTGTGTGGTGTGTGTGTGTGTGTGTGTGTGTGTGTGTGTGTGTGTGTGTGTGTGTGTGTGTGTGTGTGTTTGTGTTTCTATTTGTGTGTATGTTGCCTGCAGGTTCAGCATGTTCAGTTTCACCACCAGTTTATTGCCTGAGAACTTTGTTTAGTGACCTGCTGAACTTACACCGACTTGCAGCCTTAGCTGACAAGTCTGAAAATTAGATATTTGTTTTCCTGGTTCATAACAATCCTGCCAAATTTAAATGATAAAAGAAATGGCCAAGTCTGCAAAATTATGTTTCTAAACTGTGAAATAAATATTGTAAGATCTACCATCTCACTGCTGCGCTCTGCTTGCAGAATGTCAATGCAAGTGCACACAAAAAACACTGTTAACTTCAATTGGGATACCATTAGGTCATAATTGTGCTCTTTAAGTCACATAATGTGTTTCGATCAAATATGTAAAATTACTTTACGTGAACTATAAATATTTTCCTGAATGTATAGATTGGTGCCTCCTTTTACTGTATAATAAGTTACGTCAAATGTACTATCATGTGGTTTACACTTTTGTCCTTTAACCACGTTTAATGTAAGGGATTTCCAGTGAAATATATAAAATGTGTGTTCTTTAATCTCTCATTCAGACTGGCCTTTTCCTTCATTTCTAAGGAAGCACTTCTCCCTTTTGCAGCTACAAGTTAATTCATCACAGTACTGCATTCATAATTGACAGTGTACCAAACAACTTCCTAATGTGCGACCCTGAAGGTTTCACATAACAAAATAACAACATGGACCTCATTTATTTTTTAAATGTAACATTCAATTACAAATAAGATCCAGTAATAGTCTTGTAATAACTGTACGCATGATACATACTGTATTACAACTGTAGCACTGGTAAGCCCATTCTGACACTCTTAAGTCTGCAGACATCCGTCATTCTGTGAGAGTTACTGAGTTTGCTAAAGGATATATGAGCCTTACAGCTGCCCTAAGACCATCTTCTAAGAATGAGCTGCCCTGCCAGGAAGAGCTGAGCACAGCCGATGTACTCTGGACACGAAACAGCATATGATAGCAATTTCATGTATGGTCGGTGCAGTGACCCCTATCAGGCTACCACAAACAAGTTGACATAAGACTCTGGCACTAAACCATCAGCAACAGTCATCAACAGAGGAACAACTAAAAACATCGGCAACACAGAGCCCTCAAATATATTGAGTGTTTATTTTTAATGCATTCACACAGACATATAAGTGGCCTAATTTGGTATGCTACCTGTTGGTTGACCTTATGTCGCCTTGCAACAAAAAAAAACACCCTTTCTTGTTGGGGGAGTGTCTTCACACAAGTTTAAATTAAGGATTTATGAGTCGGAGGCTATGAGCTGACTGCTTGCTATGCACCATGACACCGCAGCAGGGCAACCATTTGTTTTCTCTACATTGTTATACTTTAAAAATAGTTAAGGGATTTTTGAAGAATATTCTTTAGAATATGGGGGAGAAAAAATCAAGCCAACACCTCACACATTTAAAAAAAAAAAAGCCAGGGATCATAGCCACTTCCAGGTTAAATGTTTGCAACTTTATGCAATGCAATGGAATAACACTGACAATCATTTTTAAATGAATGATTCACCACAACGTTGAATAACTCCTCACAATGTTCCTTAAAAAACGAGTCATGTCCGTTGACTCAGCAGGGGCAGGGCACTTTAACACATTCGTTGCATAATCTTTTTGCACACTTGCTTGATATCGAGCTCTCTGATTGGATCAGGCTATTGTGGTCTGAGAGTCATGAGACCGGACAGAAACATTAGCTGGAACTTAGTAAGTGAGATTATGAGTGTAGAACATACTCTTTGGCAAAACATTGTTGCTGTTATAAATGACAGAAAACAAAGCAATAGATGTTATATTTATGAAAGATTTGTCTAAAATTAATACAATACTCTCTAACTACCACAGATATCTCCTAATTTTTACCCCACCTAGTACATTTCAAGGTATAATTTTGTTGAAACATGTTGGTCTCATGCAACGTGGAATCCCTTCTTAACAAATAACTAAATCTCATAAATCCACAGAGGTGAGAAGATTCCCTGATCCATCAGGCTGTCCTGCGACTCCTGCCAGCTCGCTTCATCCCTGTACCTTCGTGTTCCCCCATTCACCCCCTTTTTGCTTCTCCCCAAGTTGAGTCAGAGCAGATCGCCTTACAGGGGGGATTACTGAGAGACATATCTCGGGTCTCACTGTCTCTGCTGTCCTAAGAACCAGCTACATGACTCTACACATTAAAATGCTACATGAGTCTAATTATTTTATTAGGGTTCAGATTTAATTAAAAAGTAGTTTTAAATGATGAAACGTATGCCTTTATTCCTCCTCTGTGGTGATATAAACACACAAGTGCTTGAATACACTTCTCTCCATTCATTTTGTAAACTACAGGCATATAAAAGCACAATCACAAACCTTTTGACTTTAACATCCATTCATTGTTCTTAATAACATCTATTTTACCCATAATTCATGCTGTTTTATCCACATATGCAGATTATTTAAAAACTACTTTACCCAGCTCCATGTGTTGTCAGTGCTAAAGTTCTCCGCAGTTTCATCAAACTCTTCTTCATCCTCTGCTGATATCATGATTCCATTGTGTTTTCAATCCCAGTTGCAGTTTTCTGTTTTTTGGTATCTCTAAACAGACGTTTATGTATAAAATTCCACAAGTCTTGGACTCGTGTCTTCACACTGTGAGCATGTCAAGTGTCTGACTGTCATGTGCAAGTGGACAGCGTCTTAATAATTGTACCTGGGCCCCCTGGTCAGAAATCTGAGCCTGTCACAGAGTGGTCATCGTCCATCAGACCATCTGACTTCTCAAGGACTTGAGGAGGGGGGACACCTGTTAGGATTGTTTCTCAGAATGGTCGTCTAAGTTGACTTTAAGGTGAATTACTTTGTGCATTTCTCATTAGTTAACACTGACTGTGACACCTGTTGTTGCTGTTGACCCCATGTAGAGCACAGGAAGGCCGTCACTGACATTCAGAACATATCAGCACCTGTCACATGGGCTTCTGAAGTCCAAGTCTCCCTGGTACCCGGGGACTCTTCCAGTGACTGCTGTCAGGGATATGACGCCGTTGCCACTGATGTGTTTGAACTGGTGACCTTTGGTTTAAATGTGATAGCTAGCCACCATGGCATCAAACTCTGACGTGAAGCCTTTTCAATGTGAGTCTACACTGCCATCAAGTGGTCACAAAAGGGAAATGCATGTAGAATGGGAATTTAGGGCCTGAAGTTGCCTTCACTTGCTATATTTAAATTCCGATTTAAAAAGGCCCTACTAAAGTTCTTAAACTTCATGTTTTGTGGTAGAAAAATCCAACTAAATATAACCAGAGACTAATTGAATCCTCTGAGTCACATATAGGCTACTACAAAAAAGGCCTATTTTGATCAACTTACAAATAAAATGCATCTTAGCCTTAATAATACAAAGTTTGGGTTTACAAAGTGTTTTACTAGCCTATCCAATACATTAAATCAAAATACATTGTTGTTGTTGTTTTTGTGATGCTCTTCAATTGTTTTGCATAGTGATGAAATGCATATTTGTATTATTTGTATAATTATTATTATTATGACATTGTAATTGTTTGGCTGTGCCGTTGTGCACAATGCCAACATAATTTTTCTACAGCACTTGAAGGCAACACAATACCTTCTGCTGCTTGTCCTCCTCTTGTCGCATATTGATCCAGCTAGCTGATCGTTAGCTTTTTTTGTCAGGATGATGTCTGTGGTGTTTAAATGTTTGTCAGTTGTTTCTGGCTAATGGTATCTGGCATTTGGGGGCTTTAATGTACCGTGCAGCTAATCTAACAACCATCGGCAAAGCGGGAACCGGCTGGTAGGTGGTCTTTGAAATCACTGAGACGTAACATATTGTTCACGTCCACTCAACTCTCGTGAATGAGCCAGCTAGAGAGCTAACGCTAGCAATGCTAACTAGCTAGCATCAAATATCATCTGCTATATAGCCTTTGTTGTTTATCTTCTGACGACAGTATATACCAAAATACCACCATTTAAAAATGGGAATATAAGCTCTTTGCTGTGGTTGTGTAGTTATCTTAAGTGATGGATAGAAGTTTGTTGTAACGTAAGTTGACTTAGCTTGCAAACATGAGCTTAAACAGCTAACAACAAGCAACACAGCTAACTAAAGAGGAGTAATGTTGGTGGTAGTTGCAGAGCATTTTGTAAGCGGCATCACAGGCAGTTAAATCAGAGCTGACTATTTATTAGCGTAAGTATTACGCCGCAAACTCATCCTGTGTTGCATCCAACTTTGAAAAGGGATCGATTTTGTGTGTCAAATTTGAAGAATTAGCCATCTTGCTAACGTGTTTTTCATAGTTGCTCATGTCAAACAGCTAAGCTAAGTAACGTTAATCTTCTTGACAATGATGGTCCCATACTTATCTGTCGCCTCCTCCTTCAATGACAATCTGCAAATCATTCCTACATACACACACTCATACCCTTTTACCATAGACTATATGTATAGTTTTGTAATGCCTGCTGTCAAAATATGTATCTCAACAGTATTATTGGCTGTCCTGCAGACTCTGCTGACTCTTCAATAAAACTCAATCTTAAATGCTTTTTAGTGTCCAAGCATGGGACAAGATGTGTTAACCAGTATCTCCTTGTATGCCTCAACTTTAGGCACTTTAGCCGGACGATGGACGAGCTGGTCCATGACCTGGTGTCAGCCCTGGAGGAGAGCTCTGAGCAGGCTGCCCGTGGGGGTTTTGGGGATGGAGGAGACCATGCTCTGGCTGTGGGCTGTCTGCTGAAGAGGCAGGCTCGGAAGCGTAGAGGCAGGAAGCGACGCTCGGACAACCCGCACCCGCCGTGGGAGGCAGGCCACCTCAGTGAGGGCTCAGAGTCCAGCGTCGAAGAACAGAAGGTGAGTGGATGGAGGGCAGTGATTTACACATATAGATCTTTAGGCTAAAAACTCTCCCTGTAAAAGGTGCTCGAGCAAAACACTTCAGATGTCCATAAATGTTGTTTCGTTGCTCACCCTGTGTTTCTCAAGTGCAAACAATGGGAAAAGTAGCCAAAACTATTATCATTGTTAAAGCAACCATGAGGGAAGTGACTGGTATAAAGCCCAAAAAGTGCATGAATCATACAAGTTAGATCATCTATCAAATATGCTGATCTACTTGAGATGTTACACTCGAGATTTTTTTAAATGGATTGTTGATTTGAATTCAAATCACTGTAATATCAGAGATCTAGTAGCACACATTTTTCATACTATTCTCACATTTTTCTCCCTTTTTTCAAATAGATATCCCACCCACCAAAGCAGAGAAACCTTAATCTGATCTGATCCTTTAGAAACCGTAAACTGCTCGTCTCCACATAAAGTTGGAATTGCCCAATTAGTACAGATTACCTGCAGTTTAAGTATTCTTTACTGTATTGAACCATAACACATAATCACTTCAAGGTTTCCCTCTGTTTTAATCTGTCTTTTATGCTCACTCGTATAGTTTTGAGGGTATTAACAATCCAAATGTGTTCCCAATTTAGCATCAGTCACCTTCTGATATGAACCACATTGACGTGTTTTGCAGGACTACCGAGCCAGTACAGGGGGGGTCTCGGCTGCCAACAGCCATGCCCGTGACAACAGCGATTCGGATGAACAACTTGGCCCCAAACGGCGCACCCTCATCGCAGCAGAAACAGGACGAAGCAAGCGACCGATTTGGCCGGACGACCTGGGTGTCCTGGGGTCCGCAGAGGGAACTCGCAGCCTCAGGCGGAGACGAAAGGTCAAACGTATGGCGGTAGACCCCCCTGCAGAACCAGAACCCCCTTCCTGCACCATGCTAGGGCCCCCGCCTGTCCCCAAAGCCCGTGTCGGTGCCAGGCCGCATAGAATGGGTGCTAATGAGGGCAGGGGGCCCATGGAGTTGTATGGAGGTGGAATGATGGGGCCTGGGGGAGGCAAGAACAGGGTGAAGAAGAGGAAAATGGCCCCCCACAGACTGGGGATGGAGGCTGCAGATGAAGGGGTGGTGGTGGAGAGTGAGGACCCCATCTCTTCTCCAATAGAAGTGTCCAAGGACAAGATGGAGTTGGAGGAGCAGAAGGGCTCAGATGAGGACATGAGTGATAGGTGGTTAGTGTATACACTTTTGTTTTCATTCATTCCCAAGAAGTTTCCACTCCTCCGTCTCTGCTGCTGTATTCTGTGTTTATAGGTATGTGTGTGTAGTAGAGATGTTAAGATTCACCGATTCGCATCGGTGCACCGGCATAAACGTTCAAGATGCGAGTGCACCGGTTGAAAGAGTGCACATCGGCTACAGTTTGGGTTGAACCGGGTTGAACTCGCGATGCATCGATGGCGTAGCGTCTTTGCATCGGTAAAAAACCGATTCATTCATATAAAATCCCCTCATCTTGTCAACGCTCAGCAGAGACGATCTTTGATATTTGCTTCGCCACTACGGAGGCCGAGAGTCTCAGTTATCAACACACACGGAAGTCGAGGAGAAAGAGAAACACAGCGCACCGAAAAATACCTACAAATCAAACGTTTGGTAACACTTCGGATTGTTCAAGAAAGACGGTGTAATAGTCCTTTATGCTAGGCTATATAGTTGACCGCAGGTCATGGAGAGTAATAAGGTATCCGTAGACCTTTGTATGAGGTATCTTTATTACTTAACAGGTCTACAGCCATGATACATAGATCCGTCCTAGATGCGGGCTTGCATACACACAGTATCACTCCGCAGCCGCACCCCATCAGTAACGTCCTGATGGTATATGTGCACGGCACAGACGGTCAACTTGAAAAATCGCTCGCAAATTGTTAACGATGCCGAGCCGATTTAAAGTACACAAGTAGTACGAGGAACTTAGCGACGCACATAAAGAGGCGACATGGGGTCTGCGGCTGAAAAGAGAAACCTCAAAGTTAGACATATGAGTTAAATCACTCAGTGAGGTGTTCTGTCAGAGAGAGTGGTGTTTAGTTTACAGCAGCCTGTGACGGCCAATAATAATTTAAATGTATTCCTCACTGTAAGCAGTTATGAAATACCTGTTTGTGAAAGGTTATTTGTATTATTTATTGTTCATATAGAACCCACCGCTTTCTGCTCAGTGGTGAGTTAGCCTATGAATGAGTGTTAAGCACATCAGGCTGGCAGCTGTATGGGCATTGCTCTATGGTAGCTGTTATTTGCACATTGTTAATCATGAGCAATGCATCTTTACATTGTTTAACTGTGAGGTGTTATACAATTGTACTCTGGAGAGCTTTTAAAGGTAAAAAAATAAACGGCATGATGGGATGTGCAGTACCAAATATGTAAAGCACTTTTTTGTTAATGTATGATTTGCTGCATATAAGGAATAAAACAAAAATCCTCTGTCGTACCAAATTGAAGTATCATTATTTTTGCATCGTGTTGAATCGCATCGTATCGCACCGAATCGCATAATGTTGAATCAAATCGTATCGAACTGTATCGCAACAGGGGTGAATCGTATCGTATCGCATCGCCTGGTGTTTCAAATGTATCGTTAATGTATCGTATCGTGGCAACGTATCGAGATGCGCATCGCATCGGCCTCAGTGATGGAGATGCACATCCCTAGTGTGTAGGCCAACGGCTGATGAGAACCGTGTTGTGTACGGTGTAGGGCTTGCTAACGGCCACACTTTTTATTTGGACGGAAATTAATTTCCTTCGCTGAATATCAAAAGCAGTCAATTCTGAAAAACTGACATAGAATATTCGGTCAGTTTTTTTAACATCTTGTTTCCTTACCAACCGGATAGTTCCTGATTTTAAATGTTGCCAACTTAAGATTTCTCGGTTGATGCACTTGTACTGCTCATTCTCTTAAAAGAACATAAAACCGTAGCTTCTCTTAATTCATTGAGGAAAATTGACTGTAGAAAACCATATTTTAATGTATCAAAAAAGGGATATTTTGGTATCTATTGTAAACTGAGGTAGCTTACTGGCACTTTAATCCAAAACCTTTACTCAATTCCCCACACTGTGTGTAAGCTAACTTGTGTTTCTTGAATCGACAATTCTTTATGGTGAAATGTATGGTATTCTATTTCCCTAAATCTCCATCTTCCTCTCTCTCCTTTTCAGTGAGACCAGTAGTGTCAGTAACAGCAGTGACGGAGGCCTCTACACCAACGATGAGGGGAGGCAAGGTACAAACTCCAATATGTTAATATTATTGGTCAACCAAAGAAACCTCCTTTTTTCTTTTTTATAAAAACCATGGTCACATGTTGGTCTCTCTTCCAGCTGATGACGAGCAGAGCGACTGGTTCTTTGAGGGTGAGCCGGGCTCCGGTTCAGCACCCGGGGGGGCGTGCGGGATAGCGGGGGTGGTCCCCTGGTGGGAGAGGGAGACGGCTTCAGAGGAGCTGGACTTAACTGACCCCGTCTTCAACAGCATCCTCAGCGGGTCCTTCCCCCTCATGGGGCCTGGAGGACAGAGAGGTAACCCGTTTTTAAGACAAACTATAATGAACTGTCTTTTAATATGTAGATAACAGGAGTGATTTGGTTGGATTAGGTACAGTTACATACATTGTATTGTTGCAGTCTCATTCATGACCAGTAGGAGGCAAACACAAATCAATGTTTAGCAGTTTGCCAATAAAGTGTTGTTGTATAGTCAGGGTGTCCACGGGGTCTTAAAAAGTATTAAAAGTTGATAAATCAATTTAGCGAAAATTAAGGCTATTAAAAAGTATGAAACGGCATTTTCCAAGGTATTACATTTTGTAGCTTGTTTTCAATAAGTATATAAATGGTCCAAAGAGGTTGTATTCTACAGTCGGCCTGAATGTAATCATTGCGTAGGTGTGTAGTGTGACTCTGTGTAGTTTATTTATGGCATCCCGTTGGGTTTGACGTCATCTGAACAGGACATGGCACGCTCACTGCTTGATAGCGCGCGAAGGCCCGTTTACGCCGGTTGCTAAACAACATCGTTATGGGGAAATGCAAGTTTGCGTCCAAATGGTTGGAAGATAAGGAGGAAGGACAATCAATACTGTATATAGTCAATGTGAGGTAAAGTGTGTCGCTAATGGTTAAAACTCGAAGTGGCGATGAGGTCTTAAAATGTATGGAAAGGGTCTTAAAAAAGGTCTTAAAAGGTATTACATTTGACTCCAGGATTCCTGCATATACCCTGATAGGGGATTTTACTTCCTATATCTACTATCGTAAGCAAAAAAAGACATTTGTTTTACATCCTAGTGTCCATTCTCTGTATTAAAAATTGTACTGATGTATGGCTGCTTAATTGATTGACATTTGATTTCAAATTGAATTATGGCAAAATATGCCATAAGTTTTCATTCTGATAGAAGTGTCATGGAGCTGCAGAAAACTCCTATCCTACAAATGGTATTCAATAGATTTACACATCCTGTAAATGTTTCAAAAATGATCATATATCGCTATGTCCGATATCACAATTCATATCGTAATTGCAATACCAGTTAAAATAACCTATAATAATCTGTCAAATGTTCAAAACGGCATTGTTTCACTGAAATAGCTTCAATATCAGAGAGTCACATTCTTAACGGAAATCTACTGACACAAAGTACTTAATTGAATTACTACTTGCGGTTAATGTTAAAATAACTGCAAGTAATAATTATTTCCAACTCCTGCAGCCCTTTAAAATATAAATATAGGTATCCTAAAGGACTGCGATTTACTTTATTGTGAACAATATCAAACTGATTTATCATTTCAAATAATTAACATGCTGAGTTTTGTTGCTGACGACTTGCTCTGCCTTCTTCAGGGTTCCATGCCAGGCTGAGCCGTCTCCATAGTAACCAGCATATACCCCAGGCAGGCAGCTCCGGACAGAGCTTCAACGACCGGCTGGGCAGACAGAGCCAGGACCCCCACGAGTGAGTCCTCATCTTCTATACTTTACATATATGCTTTAAAGTTTGTATTCTTGTACTTGTTTTTCATTGGTTTTCTTTTGAAACTACTCTAAGGATTGTAGCACTTGGAGTTGCATTTTAAATTATGATTTAAAAAAAAGAAGTTAAGGCTGAGAAAGATAGCAGAATTCAGATTTGGTTGGCCTTGACACAAATTTGGTTTCCAGACAAAAACTAAATATCTTCGATTAGTATTAATACAATAGAAAGCAAACAGCAAAGGTTGTCCCAAGATAACGTTTTTAAAGGTTCTTAAGTTTCTTTAAAAGTTTCTGTGATGGACGAGGGCCAGCAGTTCACTTACGACAAGATAATTAATAGCAGTTTGGTTTCGGTCTGTGGAAGGCAGCCTTGATGGCTCTCAATTACATTATTATTAAATCTCCAACAGGCCTTGGTTCAGCTCGGGCTCCAGGAGAGAGCACGGACAGGTGAGTTTCTTTTCCCCCCAAAGTTAACATTTTGATCTGTAGCACTGTCCTTGGTGGTTGCTGTTAAATGCACTACTTAGTTTTATTGCAAGGATTACCTGCTTGAGCATTCACTTTAATACCCCCCCCCCCTCCCTTTCCTTACTGCCACTCCAGTTGCATTGGGACTCTCGGTCAGACAGAGGGCATCGGAGAAGCTGTTCGGTGAAAACAGCCAGCAGGTGAGAACAACACTTGAGAAAAACGTCAGTGATTTATGAGCGAAACGCAGAACTAATTTCCTTTTTAGTACCTGCCTTTTGTTTCTGCTGCAGTCTCATCGACATAACTCCCCATTGGTTTTCACAACGGGTATTTTTTTTTTCAAATGAGGAAGAATAATTTCCACTGTGTTACTTGAGCTCAACTAATGCCCACATATTTTTGTCTCGCTTGGCTGGTTTTGCAGACAGACCAGCGGGCACCTGGGCTCTCTGTGTACAGGGGATGTCAAGCGGAGGCGAAAAGCAGCCCCCCTCGGTTCCACCGCCCCCCCAGGTATTGGACCTAGCTACACCTAACGCACCATCTGGCACTTTTTTTTCCTTTTTTTTTTTTACCACGTTTTCTTTTTCGTATTTTTGGCTCTCGCCTGTTTCTCCTCCCCCTCTTGGTTGAGCGCAGTATGTCCACCAGCCTGCTTTCCTCGTTGCCTTCTGTCTCGCACATACACTGATGTAAACACGAGGGACGGGGATGAAAAATGAGGGATTCACTACGCATCTTTAAAAAGAGAGAAGGGAGTCCCTCAGCCTTCGTGTTGCTCCCTCTCCCCCTCTCTCATTATTAAACGGCGCTTTTGCTCCTAACCCCCTTTCCTCCTAAGCTTTGTTGGACAAGAGTCAGCTGGCTAGTCATGCTGTCAGAGCAGAGATACTGGATTAGCTCTTAGCCTGTAACACTTGTGCATCAGGCCCACTCCCCCTCCCCCCAAACCACTCTCTTTACCTCTGGGCCAGTTGGAGGAGGAAGGGAGAGATAGCAAAAATGTAACCCCCATTATAATATATAGAGTCTGATCCATGTATTATTATTTAAGCATCATTTGGCTCGTGACACCTTGTAGTTCCATGTATTATATATTTATTTGTATGGTCCAAAGCACTTTGTACACGCTCCAGACCCGGATGTAGGTCTGCGGAACAGCAGGTTGCTAAACTCGCAGCAGGCGGGCAACGGCGATGTCCTGCCAAATTCACTTCCTGACAATTTGGCGCTCAACCATCGTCTGAGTAAATGAGCGTGCGGCTTTGACCTGCGCTCCACATAAATCAAGACGGGATTAAACGGGCTAACAGATCGACCTCTGTCACTGGAGCGTGGACTTCCAGGAAGTGCCGGGGACAAAACCCACTAGTCTGTTTGGAAACAGACATGCGTGCGCTTTTATTTAGAGGCAGTACCAGACGGCAGACAGAATCTCCATTAATCAATTAACATGTCCATTAAGGCTGCACGGCACAACGCTACAGCATCCACTTTGCGATGTGCGCATTCGTCGTGCATGTGAAGAGAAGCAAATTAATCCACACGTCATACTCATTTGCTGTTCCATACATAAAGGAAAAGTGGTACGGTTCTATTTTGCAAGGACTAATCTACAAGATGAGTTTTAAATGTTCTTGAATACAGAGTTTATTATTATACAGGAACATTCAATCTGCAACAACAGAACAGGCCCCAACGTCAGTATGAATATCTTTTGGTTATTGAATTTACCAAAAAAAAGACTTTCTGGTTAAGAGTCCTGTAGTTTTTCATATACTGGAAAGAAATTGGTTATATATCAGTGTCTTTTCTCTCATTTCTTATAACAAGTTACCAGAGCCAATGTCTACAAAACTGACCCATTTAGAATAACAAAAACAGTCAAAGGAACTCTATTTTAGATATGTACACCTTGTCGATAAACGATATGTCGATAACTCCCTATTTTCTAACCTGTAACTTCTCCTTTCAGTAGTGGTGGGGGAGAACGCACCCCCCCTCCCTGACACTAACATGGGGAGCCGCATGATGCAGAGCATGGGCTGGAGCCCGGGGATGGGCCTGGGTCCGGAGGGCAGGGGCATGACCGAACCCGTCCGGGCCACGCAGAGACCCAAAGGAACGGGCCTAGGCTTCAACTGAAAACCCGAGGATTCTGGATCCTGAACCTGAAGGATGCTGGGAGAAGACACTGAGAGAAACAGAGAGCGAGGGAGAGGAAATGCTGCTCAGGGCGACGAACGATAAAAAAACAGTCCAGAATAACCCAGACATGTGAGTCATAAGTAGGAAAGGAATCAGTCTTGTCCTAGCAACAGTCGAGACAAACTTTCCCATATTGGGGAAACAGCGAGACGTCTGGCACATCCACACAGATAGAGAGAAGACACGTGGAAGTGATTGAAACGGAGCAGGAGAAAAGACTTCATGCAACGGGACCTTTCACAAAACTCCATGTTGGAGATATCTTATGACATTGATGTCTCATTAGCGTGTCATACTGAACCAATGATGACAGTGTGGTTTGTTTTCATTCAGTGGTATCAATTCAATAACGATAAATGGTTTGTTTAAGTAACAAAATACACTAGGTTAAGTTGTGCCAATGCTAGCTTGACTGTACTGCAGACTGCTGGATTTAGCCTCCCATAGCCATGCTCAATGACTTTACACACACTGTATGACAAATATATGATTCTCTAGTTACAGCAATTCCAGCATCTCCAAACAGTTTTGGAAATTCCCCCCGAAAAAAATCTAAGACATTGCCTGTGTTTTTAAAGTGCATTCATAACTTTCACAGGTGTTTTCACTTTGCCTGATTAGGTCTAATTAGAGATAAGTGAAAACACCTGTTGGACTGTGCAGGACCTTTTTAAATGACATTTCTTTTAAAACTTTATTTTAGACCCTTTGTCATTGACCTAACTGTGATATTGTTTCCTGTGTTCATTTAGCTTGCCTGCGACCATAGATTGTCCAATACCAATTTGGAAATTATTGTCAGTGCAAGTATAGAGATTAAGGTCTAGAAAAATAAATGAAATTATGAATTAAAAAATGAGAAAGAAGTTGTTCTGTATCAATATTTGTTTGTTTTGTGCACCGGGTGGATGTTCTTGAGATGTCAGTGACAGAAACAAATATCTCAGAAACTCAAAGCCAATATAATGACACGTTGTTTTGCGAGTTCAGGACATCCAATAATTACATTTGGCCGGATATCTGTTTTTTAATATTTACAAATCACAAGGATAAACACCTTTTTTAGAAATAACGAGAAATTTTCAAAAATTCTGTTTCCAGTTGTTATGCTAAGCTAAGCTAAAAGGTTTGACCCTTGCCTAATGTTGAATGGACATACTGATATCAAACTTTTTGGAAGAGAGCAAACAAGCACATTTTGAAACGTTGAACCCTTCCTTTTCAATTTATTCATTCAACAATTGAGCTGAAAGATACATATTGGAGACAAATTAGCTTGTCGGTGCTCTGCGATGGACAAAATATGAAATGCAGACTCATTCTAAAATAGCGTCATACATGAATATTCAGCATTTCTGTACTGTACTGTTTCTTGCTATCCAACATTTACACCTATACTGATATCACAAAAATAACCTTTATCTGCCAGTACATTGTTTTGTAAAGGGGACATATCATGCTTATGTTTTAGTTTCATAATTTAGTGGGAATGCTGACACAGCATTCCAACTATCTGTTATGCTACGCACAAAATTATTTATTATTCCGCCGGGTTATTTTGCGCCACTTCTCCCGCATTGAACATCGCAGAAACTTCGTTCAAACATCTAAACGTTCAGCTCGGTCGGGAATCGATGGCTATTGTTTCTCTGCATTTGACCCATCCTGTGTTAGGAGCAGTGTGCTGCCATTTTGAACGGCGCCCGGGGAGCAGTGTAGGGAACGGTGTCTTGCTCAGGGACACCTCGGTAGCACTTGGTCTTGCCGGGACTTGAACTGGTGATCTTCCAGTTGCCAAGCCAAGTCCCTATCGACTTCGCCACCACCGCCCCAAATGCCTTTTGAGGGCATGAAGTGACAAAAACTTTCAACATGTCTCCATTAAACTCCATTGTAAATTCAGCCTCACCTTTTCCCACCACAGCAGCCGCACACCTTTAGTTAATCTGCCAAAAAGGCCACATTATTGACACGAAAGTACACAAAAAGTACACTTCAGATGCTCAAGTTCCTTGACATGCTTCACGCTTTGAAATTTCACCGATATCTGTTACGGTTCTTCAAGAAAACGTTCACATGTAAGAGGTTTATCTCTCATTCAGAACAATGAAAGTGCTCTCCTCTCACTGATCACCATGGAAACCTTTGATCTCTGGACACCTCGTTAGCTCAAATATAAACACCTGTGTCATGGAACACGATGATGTCATAACTCCAACTGACATGCTCAGAGCAGCAGACTTCAGATAATGGTTAATGGTCCTGCCCTCAACAGCTCTACGTCAATGATGGGGTTTCATCATATGCCGTTTCCATGGAAACGCATCCCTATCCATAAAAGACGATGTCGCTATAACTCCTATGAAAATGTTCAAAAAGTGCTCAAACTTCACATGTGTGCTAACAGTCCAGCCGTGAAGACATCTACGGGACAGTTTTGAGATTTCTTCAAATGTCGTTGCCATGACAACACAATGCTCGCCATGAAACACGGTTTTCTCTTAACTTCAGTGAAAATGCTCCAAATGGCCCAAAACGTCACAGGTTTGGTAACGATGCAGCCATCAACGCATCTAAGCGTATTATAGGATGTCATCAAATGCTGTTGGCATGGCGACAGATCATTCACCATCAAGTTAGTTCAAAGGTTTGCAGTTCAAATATTCTGCTGCTTTTCCAAGCCTTTTTACTTTCTTTTCTTCTCTCATCACACATTCAAGCCCCCAGTGTTCATGTATCATTTCAATCTAAATTCTTCACTTTCTTCTTACACATTACATTTCAGCATAGCAGTTTAGTGTCAGCTTTTCAATACAAAGCATTCCCACTAGCAATTTCTTCAGGAATTGCATTCTCTAGTTGTATTTGGGTTTCTACTAGAACACTTTTTTCTTCTGCATGCTGTCTGTTTGAATATAGCTGTATTTACCCTCGGTGTGAAACGCTCTGTTTTAGAGCCTGTCTCTTTAAGCTGATTGGCTCGCCAGAAAAACCTGCACACCTTTACATAAAGTATGTAGTTCCAAAGCCAGAGGTGAAGATGGATGTGTGACAGTATGTAACATCAGAGGTGGAGCCAAACCTGAACGGCTTAAATCCCATGTTTTATGATTTAGGATCCCACAAAAAACTGACTGGGCTGTCTTATTTTATAGTTTGCTGGTTGGTTATCACTCCAGATACACAAATGCTCAAGCACTGAAAAGTACATTTTTCATAGTATATCCCCTTTAAAAACGAATTGTACAGCTGCATCAGGGACTGTTTTTATTGTTTGAAATTAGTTTTGTAATGGGTAATTGTCTAATCCATAGGTGCCCATAAGAACATATGCCCTCTAAATATTCCCAACTGCTATCAACACATGCATCACATTCACATGCTGACTCAACATCGCTGAAATATGATGCTCTCTCCGTCTCCCTCCCTCTCTTCCTCTCTCCCTCTCTCCCTCTCTCCCATCTTTGCAAGGCTGCAATAGAAATCCCTCCTCTGTATCTATGGGAATACAGGAGTGCTGTGTGTCCTCTACCCTCCCCTCTACTCACCACCTCCCCTCTGCATATAAGGGAACGCTGGCTGCCCCCCCCCCACGCCACCCCTTTCCTCTTAGACACACTTTCTGTCTGACACACTCTCTCAGGACGCCCCTGTGAGCCGGCTAGGTAAAACTTGGCACTGGATGAGAGTGAGAGGAGAGAAAGAGAGGGAACGTGTGTTTATGTATGTATGTATGTGTGTGTGCTGCTGCATCGCTGAGCTACAGAGACCGGAGGCGAGGGGAGCGTTTGTCCTTGAGACTGACTGACTGACTGCAGCTGTAGAGCGGAGGACCAGCCGGTGGATGAAACTGACAGTAAGTGCAGTAAGATGAGCGGATGGTGAAGAAGTGAATGAATGCTTCTTTTAATTACAGCTAATGTGGTTTTCTTACTGTCTGCTTAGTAACAGTCCAGTGGGGTGTTTGAATGGAAACAGAAGTGTGTGTGTGTGTGTGTGTGTGTGTGTGTGTGTGTGTGTCCGACCAGGTGAAGGTCTACTGTGTTCCCAGGTGAACTAATCTCTCAGGCTTCTTATTGGCTCCCATCAATACTTGCTGTTCAGTCTCTGTACGACTTTGTAATCAGTTCAGTTGCAGTTTGTCTACATCAGTGTTTGTGTGTCGTCAAGAAAGATGTCAGTAAACACAACATTACTGTACAGCTCCTCTTCCTCGCCACTTCTGTTGACCGATCGATATTAGTTCTGCATCTATAATTGGAAGTCATCATTTATAGAGACCCTCCAAAACGAGTAATTATCATGTGTAATCTTGCAGAAAATTACATTTTGACTGCTGTTCCTTCGCCATTGCCAGGAACCAGTGGACTGTGTTGAGCAGGGCTGAAGGATGACCAGAGGGTGGGCTTTACTGAGAAGAGGACCCCGAAAGCCTGGAGAAGGGTGGTTTCGGGTGAAGGCAGGGGTGTGGGGCGGGGGTATCATGAGGCAATTATGGGCTTGGCGTTACATTTTTGCCTGGAGTGTAAGGATATCCCAGCAGTGCCCTCATGGGTGCATCTGTATGATCAGATGATGGAGGACAGAGATGGTGGAGGATTAGAAGCAAGAAGGGAAGGATGTGATGGAATCAGAGGAAGATTATTGGTGGTGTCGTGGGGTGAGACTGGCTCACCTGTGGAGCTGCGGACAGAATGTGTTAGAGAGGCTGGCTCTAGATACAAAGGGAGATAGAAAGCCAGCAGGCGAAAAAACATAAAGCTGTGGTAGTCTTTTTTTTACCTTCATGACAGGGAAGTTCTTTTAGTCTCCATGTATGTCTGTGTTGATTTGTTTAGTGTATACATGCTGACAGGGAGCCGGAGGGCTAAATTTGACACCTGTGGAGATAAAAGTGATATGATGAGATAGACGGCTGGTTTGTGTGAGTGTGGTTACGTGAAAGTGCGTATAATAGTCCCGGACATCATCAGTAGGTGTGTGATGCTGACTCCGAGGATTTTATGTGTGTGTTGGGCCCGCACCGGTGGCTCCTCACCTGAGACGGTTCTGGGAACCAGGTGTGTGTTTTTATAAATGGGGAATAACTAAAAAAGAATATGAATGAACCACCTCTGTAAAAGTTAAATGTCCATTGTTTTCCCCCTTTTTAAGTAAAATACAATGTAAAATACTCCAATATAAATAAAGGCATATAGACCTTTTTTTAAAATTACATTTTTACTTAGGAAAATACCGTGTATTTAATCAAATGAACCATGGCTAGCAGCTTTAGCTGTGTTGATGACACCTGAATAAATCAGAGCCATCGTTAGTGATAGTATCACCTGTGCTTTTCCTACTATGACGAGTCGAGGGATAAATGCCTATAAACTGGACACAGGAAGGACAACTGTTAAACCAATAGAGATTGTTAAGATAATGAAGCTGCAGTAATCCACATTACTAGGTATACAATTAGTCAATCTAGATTTTAAATTAAACAGAGCTCTGTGTACACTGAAAAACTAATCTCAGGTTAGTAAATGAAAGTTTGTTTATAACTAAATTAAAGGGATAGTGGAAATGGAACCTCAAATAGTTTCGTTTTAACTTATATACAAGCATAATTACGTACCAAAACAATCACACCTGATTAAAAAAAATATAATAATTGCCTTACGCATGTTAGAAGCACTTTATTGCAGCTTCCCCGAAGTTTTTTAGAAACGAAATGTTCGACTCAGCCAAACCGGAAGTGACGAAAACTTAGGAAGACGATACGATAACAAACCATGGCGTCTATGCAGAATGAACGTGGAAGGGCAAATATACCAGACAAAGAAGAAGGATTGTACGAGGTATCCAGTGATGATAGCGAGTCAGA